ATCTTCAAGGTTCAAGATATTGTTTTATAAACTTATCCTACCTACACTTATCCACAAGTTTAGCCCTGACCTATCTGCGGTGTTCCATAGTCTATAAGATGCTGTTGGTTCATTAAGCTTCTCCAACAACTCTCTGAGGTCTTTGTAGAAACAGCTGCATTTACAATTAGATTAAATTACATTCAAATGAATTTATTTCTTGATAGATGGCCACTGAAGGTGTATAGCTGCTCTAGTTTTTGGTGTTATGTAGGGAGTTATTGGGCCTTGATACAAATATCTTTAAATGCACTGGGGGGAAAAATAGAATTGTTAAAAATATGAATATCAGAAAGACAGTTTTAACCGATTTCAATGCAGTTCTTAGGAAGGAGGAGTCACAGCTGTAATCTCTGCATGTGCAGAACAGGGTCTTTCCTGCAACTGGCCAAGTTGCTTCAGGGGGACATATGGGTGAGTTTTTAAATATTGAAGACTGAGTAAAATGTTGCATTTAAAATTTTAGTAAAGAGTAAGCCTTAACCCAGTTGCCTGAGGTTCTGCAAAACAAAATCTGACAGAATTATTGATTCTCAATAACAAAGTAGTATTTCCACACTGCATGGTGCTAAAGAGATATGATGCATCTTCATTACCTCACTCCTCATGTATGTTTCTTCCTGGCGTCTCCTAGTTTTGGTAACCTGTTTATTATTTCTGGATTTGTGCTTCTGTTACCATCTATATCTAAATTAAATCTGCAAAAAATAATCTCTGTCTCCTCATCTCTGCATCTGGGTCCTCAACTAATTTCCACTGAACCTGTTTGTGTGACAGGATGTATAAGAACAGCTCACCTAATTTAATAGAACTCAAATACATTATTTCTTCACATTTACTCTGTGTGACATTTGCCAACGTACACACTTCTATAGGTTTTGGTTTTTATGATGTAAAACCTTAGCCTTTCCGATTTTTTCCTCCAGTATACTGTAGTCCCAATATGACCAGCATAATTTGTGTGTTTGTCCATCATTTAACGACTTCTGCAAGGCTGTAAGATTCCTGTATTCTGCACAACAGTCTGGAGCTTCTATTCCACCCTGGATAGTGTTCTATTTGTTGACACCGGGTATAGGGATAGGAGCTAGGAAAGGTGCTTAAGTCAACTACACAGAGTATTTGGATATTTTTAGATACTGGAATATTTGCTCTGAGGATGTGTCAATGTTGCTGATTATACAGGCCTAACTCTCAAGGTTAAATAAAGTCCTGTAACTGTCAGGTTGAGTGAAGGTTTGAAGGACCCAAATGCAGAGACGGAAGCTGAGGTAATTTCTTGCAAGATTTAATTAACCAAAAAGGGCAACAGAAGCAAAAATCACAAAAAAATCCAAACATACTGAGAACCAGGAATACTCCCAAGGGGCCAAAGAAATTACAACAAACCAACAACAGTGACTAAGCAGGAGGTGCATATATGGAAGACAGAAACAAAGACCAGGCTAATCCACAGATTGGGAGCAGGTGTGAACAGAGGGGTCTAGAAAGGACCTAAGGAAAAGGAGACTGACACAGGAGGGCAACCGAGAGCAAACATGAAATACCCAACAACTCAAATACAATAAAAAATAACTAGAATAAGACATAATGTAAATAAAACCAATGAAAACTCAAAGATAAAACTTAAACTGACCCAAAAACCATGACAGTAATGGTTTGGCTTCTCAATGGTTGGCATTTTCCTTATTCCTTTCTTAAATATTTTACTCATTTAAACTCTTATTTAAAAAAGTCACATTCTTCTTCTTACCTGGTTTAAAACTTTCCTTTACTTACATACTGTATCTTGACCAAAATGTTCCTCTGAAGGATTTCATGAGCAATGTATTGCTCTTTGAAAGATGTTCGTGTGAAACTGAGTGGATGAGGGGGAATCTTGCCATCTGGTCTGAATGATGTTATGTTGCTGCCATGATGAAACTATCAGCATACTGTATGTCAAAGCATATACATGTTTGGTAGGTTAATGTTGAAAACTCTTCTCCGCTGAGAGTTCTTGCCCCCGGCACTGCCGAGAGGACTTTTTTTCCTCTCATGCAGAGAGATGTCTTATTCAGATCCTGACCAGCCAAATCAGACCTAATTATTACATTTTATTTTACTCAGTTTGAAACAAACATTTAATCTTAAACATGTACTGTAACTGTCCACAGTAAAACATTTACATTTAACTGGAGCCATATCATTTGAAAAGTATTTCTCAAATTTCTTTATTTTGTTACTGTATTGAATGATAGCTTTTTGGTTCTCAGTACAGCACTAAAATAAAACACTGAAATTACAAGTTTGGTCTATATATGAAGAGTTTTTCCTCCACTTGCTGGAACATAAAAAGGATGCTGTCCTCTTTTCATACATTCATCATATTTAGTGGCAAGATTCACCTGGTAAAAGTAAATGTATTTTAATGATAGAAATTCAATATTTCAGTTCAAAAATTTCCCTTTTAAATTTTCTAAGGAAACCTGAATCAAAACACCATTTAGGAAAATAAAATCTCTCTTTAGCATATAAAAATATGAATATAATTTATGTTGGTACATAAGCACCTTACCTTTTTAACTGTGGATAGAACTTAATATGCTCCTATACAATTTTACAAGGTTGCATCCTACAAAAAAAGGTGTCTTTGACCATCCCCTTCTGCAAAATCTCTCTAGATTGCCCAGATAACTAGGTCATCTCTTGTTCACTCCTCCCCCCAGCTAACCCCACTGGTTTTCTATAGAATTAAGGTATGACTAAGATGCATGTAAGATCTTTATGCTACTGAATTACTAAGAAGCAAACCATATTTAATTTCTCACCACAGTATTAACAGGAAATCAGGATATGATCAATTCTAGGAAGGTTTCCAAGAAGGAACACAGGTCCACAGCAACACATATGGTACAGGGTAGTTTCCTGTGGGCAGGAAGCTCTACTCTAAATATGCATCCTTTGTTATTTATCAAACCTACTGGCCCAGCTTGTTGCCATAAAGCTTACTTTAATATTAAAGCTTAATTTCATACCACACAATGCCCATACAGTTTTGTAAACTCTACACATTTAAATTTGTATATTAGAGCAGAATTCTTTTCCCCCTGACATTATATCCCAACTGTTTAGATTTAGTGTTGTGGTTGTTGTTAGTAAGATGTTACTATTTGTTTTACTACTCTCAACATTTTCCTTACATGTGTTTAGTTAGATATTAGGTCCTCATTCAGCCTAGTGCTTAAAGGAGAGGATCCAACTATAAACATAGTATGTCACTTTTTTATCCTTAGAGGAGCGAGAAATTCTGAAAACCAAACACGTGTTCTTAGAAACTCTAATAAAACTCTAACCTGAAACATAAAGTTCAATGTAAACACTTTTGTTTTGGGCTTTTGAGCAAGAGAGATATTTGACCTGAGTAGATATATGGACTGATCTTAGCAAAAATTAATAAATCGGAGAACAGTAAACAAAGTCTAAAAAATATTATTACCGAAATATTTAAATATTTAATATCCCCAACACCAATAGATCTTTTTTCTTTTTGGACCACTAGTTCACATGTTCTCTTTTACCTATACATTTTCTAAAACTAAAATTCTTAAAGGATTTTTCTCATTTCTGAATTGTAGCAACAGTATTTCCTTATTATTATTGTCATTTACTGCTTTGCTTATGAGTCTCTTTGCCCTTTGAATTGTTGATGTGATCAATAATGCATCTCACTACTGCACATGTGGATGAAATCCAAGTCAGATCTCTAACATCAGGGCAAGCCCAGTGACCACAAGGCATTGAATCATCTCCGATAAAAGCTAGATGTGGAGGATAATAGTTACCAACTGGTGCATTAAGAAGCATGCTTTGGAAAACATAGAACTGAAAAACATGGATTCATTTCATCTTTTGGGTCAATGACCTTGTAAAGTAGCTAATAATAAAGCAAATGTTTGTCAACAGGAGTCTGTACAGTTCTTTTGCAATGAGAGCATAAAACAAAAAAAAATATATGAACAAAATTTATTTTTATTATCTTAAGCTAAGGGGGTGTAAGCCAGTGGACTAGTCTAACAATTTTATTTGTTATTCAATCCACTGCTGAAAACATGTTCAAACCTATAATATTCGTGCAGGGTGTGTAGCAGCTAGATGCTTTAGCAATTTAGTTCAAGTAAAACTTTAATGAAGGTAAAGAGCAAAGAGAAAATTAAGTATTTCTAAGATGAGAACAGTTTTCTATCTTTCATTTTACATACAAGATAGGATAAGCAATGCTTCACTGCTAGCTGCTTCAATAAGTTATAAAAGTTGCAGGTCAATGCTCCTATGACCCGTTAAATCAAATATTGCATAGCTGTTTATGATGTTTATATTGTTGTTGTCTTTTATGCAGAAACCATTTAAGGAGAAATTTGTGTTCAATGTTAAGGATAGCGCTTTATCAATAGACACTATGATAAAAGTAAACTTTATTTACACCATACGGTCTGAGAGAAGAAATAATATCAAGCAAGGTCAAACAGGATGTCGATGTCATTTGTCAAAGTTAAATGGGAAAGCAGGTTTGAAATGATACAAATGCAATCATGGCTTAAATGAAATTTAAGCAGATGTGCTACAGTATGAAGACACCTTACCAGATATCATACAAATTAGCAAAAAAATATTTCTGCTCCAAAGGCCCATGATTTAAGCTGCAACATGGTGATGGGAGGATCACAATTTGACATAGAGACGTGCATTCTCCCTTGTATTAATAGTTCAGGGTGGTTGGTTGGTTGCAGCACAGGGTAGAATATATACAGCCACCTTATTTTGGGAATTTCTTGAATACCAAATTGGAAAAGCAATTAACTTAGGAACTGTCATGATGGGTACTAGTTCCTAGCCCAAATGCAGAACACCAGGAGACAGAGGAAAAAAGTTAACAGTTTATTTAGGAAACCACAGGTCAGGGAACAGATGCAGGGAACAGATCAGGGGTTGGTCACACGGGGTTTACTGTTCAGTGGTTCAGGCTGAGCGTCAGAAGGTGGGAACCGGTTGGGTCCAGAGACTGAGGGTTCAGCAGAGACTTTAGAAGCGGCAGAGCTTAGCTTCAGGCTAGCGAGGTTTAGACCTTGAGTTATTCTCCAAGTTCTCTCCTGAGAAAAGTATAGGAAGTATAGGAAGTATAGGAAATACTTTGTATTTTTTGTTTACAAGTCATACCAACCTTATCTTTTTTTCTGTACAAATTCTAATGCAGTACAAGATAATGCACTTTTACTTTTAATGTTATATTTGTATATGCTTCATTTAATTTAAATAGAGGCATACATAATCTTTACACAACTGCTCAAAGTTTAAGTGGCTATTTCTGCACCGACCCTCGCCCAGAAGTTGTTTGGAGCATGTTTGTGTAAGTTAAATATTCTTGATCTCACATATATGCCAAACCCAGTTAGAGGGCCGCTCAGTGACGCAGTGGAAAGCACTGCTTCTTTGTAGCAATAAGGTTCTGGGCTCAATTCCCAGCTTGGGGTAATTCTGCATGGAGTTTGCATGTTTGTCAGGAATCGCAGGCAGATGGACCCAGTATTCAGGAGAGGCAGTCAGTAGGAAAGTTCAAAAGATTTATTAAAACAAAAACAAAAGCAGAGCTGTGGCTCGCGGACACTGCAGGCGGGGGGCAGGGCACCGCCCAATCTCAGACACTCTGGGGGAGAAACACAGGTAAGTGACCACGATCAACTGATAGAAGATTAACTGTGTTGGTCACTTACCTGGTTTAACAGTCTAGACCACGAGTGTCCCCAGTGCTGCAGTCCCAGAGGTGATGCTGGAAGCCGATCCAGGTGAGGGATCCAGAACAGACAGGAACAGACAGAAACAGGCAGGATCCAGATCAGGCAGGAACAGAGACAGGTGACATGATCCAGACTTCCAGGCATCCACAGGCTTCCAGGAGGGTTCAGAGTCTGACTGGGACCAGAAGCATGACCAGGTGGTCACGCACAGGAGCAGACAGGCAGGCACAGTGGAAGAGGGTAGCCGAGACAGGACGTAGGAACCGGAACTTGAAGCTGGACTTTAAACTGGTCTCCTCCCTGGAGCCAGGCTTACTTTGATAAAAACTGAACCTCCCCCCATAATGAGCCAAAAACCCAGAGGACTCTGCGGGGGAGGAACAGTGGACGATCAGGAGACAAGACAAACACTAAAACCCTCTTTCCACTGGCAGCTAGGATCCAGGACATGAACCAAATAAAAACTGAACAGAAAGACTGACAGAGAGACAAGCAATAATCTGGCACTGAATGCTCAGGCTGAACTGAATATCAACTAGAGGAAACAGGTTAGGGGAATAAATTATAATTGAGGCAGGGAAGGAAGAGGGCAGGTGAGAGGAATTACTAACTAAGGGAGAGCAAACAGGCCAGATCATGACAATGTTCTCCATGTGCATGCATTGGTTCTCTCTGGGTAGTCCAGCTTCCTCCCACAGTCCAAAAACATGACTATTGCAGTACAAGCCATTAAAAATTTCCCCACTTTCCTTGATGAGCCCTTGGCTAGCCCCCAACAATTCCTTTTTAAACATCTAAAATAGTCTTGCTATCATGATTTGTGGACATTAAGATCTAGAGAGAAGTGTTATCTCCTGGTCAGACCCTGTAATTCAGTGAAAGGGTGGAGTCAGAGTATAAAACATGCATGCCCATATGAGAATATGAGAAGGCCAGTGGCTGGTAGTTGGAGGGGATCTTACTGCCATTCAGCTGGCATTTGACTGGGAAGGGCCATTTTGAATGGCTTTTACTGTAGCTTAATTGGCTTCTCTTAATTCTCCTTAGGTGTGAGTGTGTGCATGAATGGTTATTTGTCCTGTTTGTCTCCGTGTTGCCCTGAGATGGACTGGCGACCTGTCCAGGGTGTACCACGCTTCTTGCCAGTAGACAGCTGGAGATAGGCACCAGTACCCATCAGGACCCCACTTGGGATTAAGCGTGTCAGAAAATGGATGGAAGGATGAATCTTATGAGTTGTTTTTTTTTTTATGTAAAGATCGTTTAACAAAATATCAAGTTAAGGGTACTAACACTTTGTCCATTGCCTGTTTCATGAGTAATTGTTTTTTAAATCATTCTATTGAGGTGGAGTTCAAAAGCAATGTCCGGCTTTCGTTTTTTTCTTTTTCATAAATGTTTTATTTATCAATACTTTTGTCACATTCAAACCGTTTTTATGAACATTTTGCGATTTTCTTTCATCAAGCAAAAGTTACCATGTATGTATGTATGCTAAAAAAAAATCAAGATATTAAAAAAAATAGAGGTAGATACAGGTGTTTCTAATACCTACTTTATATAATGTTTAATAATTCAAAGAGTCTGCCTAAAAGCCAAGGCCAGAAACAAATAGACAATCCATTTGACCTTCAAAGCCTCAGGCACCAACACACAAGAATTTGTCATATATTGTGATCCATGTAGCTACATGGAGATGGGAGTACCATGCGAAACCATTGTGATTCAACACAGAAAGCCACTGCATCCAAAAATGTGACCTGAGAGCATATGAATGGAGAAAGGAAGTAATACATCAATTCTCTGCACAAAGGATGCCTAGGTTTTCACCATATGCTCATCTGATATATACTGAAATTGAATGTTAAGGCAAGTATTTCACTTTAAAAAAATTATGATGACGCACATAATAGAAATTATTCTGGCTTTTAAACTAAATGCAGCATTTCTCGATACAAGCATAAAAAAAAAAAGAAAAAAAAAACTGGAATTGGCAATGACAAAACAAAAGAAATATTCAATACTTAAAAATGACCCACTTTTGGCAAGTTTCTTGGTACACTCTATAGAGATTGAACAACTGAAACCTAAAGACATAGATTTACAAAATCTTGAAGTAGAATCCTCGTTAAAAAAATTAGCACCTATCATTTTCACTTCTAAATAATATTAGTACATGTAGCAACTAATTTACTTGCTGGACTCCTGATACTTGCAGCAGGAAATAGAGCCTTCTGCAAGTAGTCAAAGGACAGTCGGCAGTTGAAAATGCTCCTTCTGCTTGTTTTTCATAATCTTAGTCCCTATTCTGAGCTTTTTGAGATTTATGTAAATGAAACCCTTCAAATTCATTACTATGCTAGATGAGAGGGTAGGATGACAGAAATGAGAAAACAGCTAGTAAAAGAAAAGCAACACATATAAAGAAGCTGTTTTGTGATTTAGTTCTGGCAGGGGGGAACTACACCACAAGACTTGGTTTTGTGATGCGATGTACAAGCAGACAGTCATGATGATGATTTTGACCACGCCCCATCGTCACACAGCAGTTTGCATGTCATGCGTCGAAGAGTGACCGCATTCAACGTGGAAAATTTTAGGCAAACATTTGGCAGCAACCGTTTACACTTTGCTACACACAGCGCACCGCTGGAACATTTCCACTATAACATGGCTGGAGCAAAGTCTTGCTTGTCTTGTAAATATTTAAACAAATAATCTCCCACTTTTTATTAATAAGAACTCATTTTTTGAGAATGGTTGACGGTATTCTTAAGCATTGGGACAGTGTGTGGATTCCATTGCTTTTCTTTGCTCACTATCCTCTTTTCCATGCTTGGCCATCAATGCATTTTGACTTGTTTCCTTTCAATGTGGGTCGTTTATTAGTTTTTTTCATTGTGCCACTACAACCTAAAAGAAGGTTTCAAAAGGCACACACTGGTGAGAAACAACCTCACTAATATACTTCTCGCTAAGCAGAATTTCTTTTTAATGACATTGATTCTGTCAAAGTCACAGGATTTTCAGACTTAGGGCTAAGTGCCTATACTTACCCTGGAACACACTGCTGGTGAAGATTTTCAGTCATCCAGGACATAGTCATTCCAAAAAAATGGTACAAACTATCTCAAAGACTGAATGTCAGCGTAATACCTCTGAATGCGTCTTTGAATTTCAAGTTTGCATGATGAAAAACTGTATTTATCTTTAAAACTATGTCAAAGGCATTGGTTGTTGAGCAACAACCTCACTAATTTACTTGCTGGACTCCTGATACTTGCAGCAGGAAATAGAGCCTTCTGCAAGTAGTCAAAGGACAGTCGGCAGTTGAAAATGCTCCTTCTGCTTGTTTTTCATAATCTTAGTCCCTATTCTGAGCTTTTTGAGATTTATGTAAATGAAACCCTTCAAATTCATTACTATGCTAGATGAGAGGGTAGGATGACAGAAATGAGAAAACAGCTAGTAAAAGAAAAGCAACACATATAAAGAAGCTGTTTTGTGATTTAGTTCTGGCAGGGGGGAACTACACCACAAGACTTGGTTTTGTGATGCGATGTACAAGCAGACAGTCATGATGATGATTTTAAGGGATTTTGGCTTCCACTGGGAATATCATTTCATTTCCCAGACAATGCTTGAGTTTAAGTGTTGGTCATTCTTTTGAAGCAGTTAAGCCAGCTCAATGGGTTTGCTCCCTATGAGACATTTGAGACATTGGCCTACTTGCAGGTGACAGGCAGTGATGCTCTGATCTCTGATAATGATGAGGGCAACATGAAATCAAGGCTTTTCAATTTCTGTCTATTAAGTGAAAGACTGGTGTACAACAGGAAAAAATATGATGTACTCAAGACATAGCTGACTGAATTTGGAACCAACAGACAAGCTCCCCGTCAGGGAATCGAACCCTGGTCTCCTGCGTGACAGGCAGGGATACTCACCACTATACTAACGAGGACTTGAAAGGCTGCTGACCACGCCCCATCGTCACACAGCAGTTTGCATGTCATGCGTCGAAGAGTGACCGCATTCAACGTGGAACATTTTAGGCAAACATTTGGCAGCAACCGTTTACACTTTGCTACACACAGCGCACCGCTGGAACATTTCCACTATAACGTGGCTGGAGCAAAGTCTTGCTTGTCTTGTAAATATTTAAACAAATAATCTCCCACTTTTTATTAATAAGAACTCATTTTTTGAGAATGGTTGACGGTATTCTTAAGCATTGGGACAGTGTGTGGATTCCATTGCTTTTCTTTGCTCACTATCCTCTTTTCCATGCTTGGCCATCAATGCATTTTGACTTGTTTCCTTTCAATGTGGGTCGTTTATTAGTTTTTTTCATTGTGCCACTACAACCTAAAAGAAGGTTTCAAAAGGCACACACTGGTGAGAAACAACCTCACTAATATACTTCTCGCTAAGCAGAATTTCTTTTTAACCCTCCTGTTGTCCTCATTTTCTGTATACACCCTGTGTCCTCCGGGTCAAAATGACCCGTCTTCACTAAACCCCCAATATAAGCAGCTTGATTGAATTTTAAACACCAAATTTCATCTTGTATATTGTAATTCATCACAAAATGTGTGAATGCTTGAGTTTTCCCTCTCTACTTGAATTTATATAGCTTAAGAAAAGAAAAAAATTTGCAAAAAGATGTTTCGAATGCATTTTTATTTATCTCAAGACTAATTTTCTTTTATTTTTCTCCAGTGAACAATTTAAGAGAATGTACAATACAAAAAATATGACAAATAACATAACCCATTCAACTAATTAGCACATGTAGGGCAGTATGCAAGTGCACAGCCTTTGCAGATATATTTCTTACACCTGCAGCACACAGTATGTGTTTTACAGTCCTTCTGAGGACAGAACTGACATCTCTTCCTCTTACTTGCCCTAGCTGGGGAAGTGGCTGTGGTAGATGGATCCTCAGGTTGATCAGGAGCTGCTGCACTCTGAATAGCTTTCACAACTGCTGCTGAGGCATCTGTGCGGGGCACATGCTTCCTTCTTTCAATGAGTGGAGTTACAAGTGCCTTTCCTAGCTGCTCCAGGAACACCCTCCTCTTGTTTTGCTTACAAGACATCCAGGTTGGGTTGATCTCTCTCCAAATCACAAATGCATTGTAGGAGGACACATCAATGATGTTGTGGAAGATGACCAGGGGCCAGCGTGCAGTCATTCTTCTGCAGCTATATGTTCCAATCACCTTATCTAGGTTGTCCACACCTCCTTTGTTGCGGTTGTATTCCAGGATGATGATTGGCTTCCTGTCCTCACGATCACTAATTTCGCTGTCTTTGTGCAGTGTGCTCAGAAGAACTACATTCTTGTTTTTCTTTGGGAGGTAGGAAACTAGAGTGGTGGTGGGTGTGAAGGCAAACTTTGAGGAGAAGACCTCACTCTCCTTTGACGCAAGCAGTGCAGGTGGGAGCTCAGGCTTGTTCTTTCGAACTGTACCAACCATGGTGATCTTCCTCTTCAGGAGCTGCTGTCCAAGTTCATAAGAGGTGAAGAAATTGTCACATGTCACATTGTGACCCCTGAGTCCCTCTGTCACATCAAGCACAACTCGCATCCCCTGGTTCTTCTCTGGGCATTCACTGGTTGACTTCCCAGTATAGACTTGCATTTTCCAAGCATAGCTTGATTTGGCATCGCAAGCCACCCATGATTTGATCCCATATTTTGCTGGCTTGCTGGGCATATACTGCCGGAAAGGACAACGACCTTTGGACAAAAGACATTAGCATCAGTTATTAGTATCTGTGTCACAGAAAACAGTCAAAGAAATCAATAGTGAAAATCACTTTTATTACAAATATAAAAAAAAGATTACCTCTAAATGGAACCAGTTGCTCATCCACTGTTACATCAGGGCCTGGATTGTAGAGGTAGGGCAACCGCTCCACCCACTTGTCCCATACCTCTCTTATGGCTGCAAGTTTGTCTGTCACACGTCTTGCTGGTCTTGATTCACGGTCATCAAATCTTATCAGTCTTGAGTAGGTATGAAAGAGTTTCAGTGGCATTGTGGCTCGGAAAATTGGCCTTCCACTCTCTGCATCCCATAGACTAGCTGCAGCCTCACCTCGGGACCTGTATACACCTGCTAGGATTAACAGCCCTAAATAGGCCTGGAGGTCAATCTCATCCATCTTTTTCCAGCTGTCTCCATATTTGCGAAAACCCTCTAGATTTGTCATCTCCAGGATTATTTTTTCTATTGCTGGTGTGATGAACAGGTAGAATGTAGAAACAATATCATGGGCATGAGAAACTGCATACCTTGTGGGTCCTGGGGTCATCTTTACAATGTTTTGTTCTTCATGCCTGCCGTGTTGGTCATATGCTGCTGAAGACCATGTTATTTTGCCATTTTTTGAAAGGAAAGTTTCAGCTTCAGGGTTTTCTTCTTCTTCTGAAGATGATTCATCATGCTCTGGGTTGTATTCCTCTCCATCTTCTTCTTCGGATACATCCTCTACTTCCTCTTCTGAATCAGAGTTGTCTTGCTGAACATGTGAGAAAATCAGCTCTAAAGCCTCTTCAGGGCTGTAACGCACACTCATGGCTTCAGCACAGACACAATTCAGGGTCCTGTTATGCAGCACCTTTATAACCTCTGGAAATAACAGGTGTCTTCTGAAGTCTGCGAGAACACCACCTGATTTGCCTTGTTTACTTCTGCTACTGATTGATCTAAGACACTACTAAAACTTTGTAACATTCTGTGGTTTGTAAATAACTCTGTGACCTTGATTTCAACTTCATTTGCTTCAAAGGGTCATTTTGACCCGAAGACCATCTTTGTACCTTTTTTTGTACAGCTTACATGGAAATGTGAATAAAAGGAATATTTAACTTTTTCTATTGTCT